CCTAGACGTGTTGCAGCCGATGTTCTAGGTATGGAAATTGATTTCTATTTCTCGTGCTAGATGTGATGCACTGTGAAGACGACATGCAATGCAAATTGGCTTCAGTTTCATTTGCTAGAAACTAGAAATTGCTTGAAACTCCTCCAGCCGCGTAAGCCTCGCCCATGCACGCTATGCATTCGGTAAAATGGCACAAGGACCTGGGTGCTCTGCAACCCCTTGATCTGCTATGCCTCCTATGGACACTGAATTGTACAATTTTGTGAACATATAGTGCTGTGATTAGGGAAAAAAGATATATCAAATCACAAGAACCGGTGTGTAAAGGAAAAGCTGCGACTTGGAAGCAAACAGATGACATAAACCAAGGAGAAAAATATCAAACACTCCTGTATACTGCATATATCAAATCACCAACCATATAGCATCCTAAGGGCATAATAGACTATTCCCACAAAAACCTGGAGCTAAGATGCGAGCCAAACAGGTAGAGTTGCTCCGTGGTGGAGCTGCTATGGAGCTGCATTTAATGGAGCAGAGCAGTTCTAGACAGACCCTAACAATCGGGTGGGCTGCTGCAGCTGTTTTTTTTTCATCCCTTTTTTTTGCTTCCTCTGTTTATTTATTGTTTTTCTTCCTTCTATCTATATTAATATAATCATGACAAAGTTCTTGCTGTCCTTTTGAAAAAATAAATGCCCTAATTAACAACCGGGTTACTTTCCTAATCTTCATTCATTGTCGCAGTAAATCAGGCCGTGGGGAAGGAGCACCTGCTCCACCTGTTGGTGACGCCGAGCGATCTCCAAAAGCTGAACCAGCTGGTGACCCGCAAGTTGAAGTGTGTGCAGGCTCAATCAGGCATCTCTTCCAGAGGCTTGTTCATGTTCGAACCACCATCTCATCCTTTGGTGGAAAGCTACCGTCCGATGCTTGGTTCAATCATGTCAAACATTTGACCTCAGATGCAGAAGAATCTCTGGAACATCTGCACTACAAGATGATCCTGGCCAAGCTTGAGGTTGGGACACACCTCAAGAAGGTAATGCCCAATGTGCCAGGGACTTGTTCCAAAACAACAGCTATAAGCTTCATGCACTTACTTGCTTCACAGGAACTTGTCATCTTACCAATTACTGACAAATTGGAGGGCCTTCGACATGGAAGCCCTGGATTGTCTGGTGCAGTTCTTGGGAACTACAGTGATATGTTGTCACTTAGTTCTTCAGTCATGCGGTGCACCCTTTTGTGTCGTGGCATTTTAGGCGTTATTAACATAGTTAACATGGAGGGTAAGAAGGAGAGCCTAGAACTTCCTGTGTTTGCTTTTGATGATCTGACATATGCTGGTCAGAACAAGGGAATTGGGGTGAATGCACATAGTGTACCAGCACGCATGACTGACCCTATATATTTGTCGTCTATGTTTATCAGAAGTCTTTTGTGTTTGGATCTCTCAAGCTGCAGTGGCCTTACACAGCTGCCTCCTTCCATTGGCAACCTTTCTAATCTGGCTGCATTGAAACTTTCTCACTGTTATTCCCTTCACACATTGACAATGTCAATAGGAAGCCTGAAGAACTTGCAAATTCTTATTCTTTCCTGCTGCCATGAACTAAGGAATTTACCAGTGTCACTTTGTGAGCTTTCCAAGCTAAGATTGCTGGATTTGGCAGGCTGTTCCAGCCTTGAAAACTTACCTGCTTCTCTAGTAAATCTTGGCAATTTAGAGAATCTGAACCTATCATATTGCAAGGGATTGAAGGAGCTTCCACAACCATTTGGTAACCTCCAGGAACTGAAGTACTTGAATTTATCAGGCAGCCATCGAGTTGACTTGGAGGTTGAGTGCCTATGTACACTTGCAAACTTGAAATCCCTAACTTTGTCACCTCTTACCAGTATTCAAGGCTTTCCTGATTCCTTCAAAGATCTGGCGAATCGCCTAGATAGTTTAAGATGGTGGAAGAAGAACCAGATCCATCACCAGTGCGGCCCAAAGGTTACTAAGCTCTTTTACTCATGTAATTAGTTCTGTTTGAGAATGATTTAATTTGTGAATAATATTGATACTCAAATTTCCTATCCTTTTTGTCCACAGGCTACTTCTTTGCATTCATATAGGTGTTATGAGCAAAGTATTATTGACATGTTACTTTCTGATGAGTCTGACAATAGCGACCAGATAGTCACTTATGCTTGCATAGTTGGTGAAAGTGGCATGGGAAAGACTGAGCTAGTCCATCGAATTTACAATAACCGAATGATTTTGGATACCTTCGATTTGAGAATATGGCTGCATATGTGTGATAAAAAGAGGCTATTAGGTAAGATAGTAGAGCTCACTACTTGTGCATCTTGCGGTGATGCCTCAATCAGTGTTCTTGAAGAAATTGTAATAGAAGAACTTACTAGCAAGAGGTTATTACTTGTACTAGACGATTCTGAAATCAAGAGCCAATATTTCTGGGGTTATCTACAGAAGCTACTTAATGTTTGTGCAAAAGGAAGCGCTGTCATTGTAACTACCAAGAGCAAGGAAGTTGCTAACCAGATTGGAGCAATGCAAACCTTTTACTTGAGTCCTCTATCCAAAGAAGAATGCTTTATGATTTTCAAGGAACACGTGCTTGAAGATTTAGTTATGAATAATTACTGTCAGTTAGAAAGCATTGGCTGGAAGTTTGTGGAGAAATGTGGTGGCAATCCAATGTGCATTAAAGCCCTAAGTGGGTTGTTATGTCATTCTGAAGTTGGATTGTCTGAAATTGATATGATCGTTGATGGTATCTTACCAGCATTAAGATTATGCTACGATCTTTTGCCATCACACCTTCAGCAGTGCTTCAAATTTTGTTCCCTATTCCCCAAAGATTATATTTTCGTGAAGCATCACATCATCCGGTTATGGATAGCTGAAGGCTTTGTCTTCTGTGAAGAAGGTACTAAACCAGAAGATACTGCCCTGCATTATTTTGACCAACTATTTTGCAGATCATTTTTCCAGCGTTCTCCATTTCATAGTGATCATAAAGATAGCTTTGTTATGCATGAGCTATTTCATGATCTGGCACACTCTGTTTCCAAGAATGAGTGCTTCAGATGTGAGGAACCATTCTGCAGCTTAGCTGAAAATGTTCCCCACCTATCCCTTGTTCTTTCAGATTTTAAGACAGCTGCACTTTCTAATGAAGTAAGGAATCTGCAGTCTTTTCTGGTTATCAGAAGATGTTTTCCAATGGTGAGAATTTTTACTTTGGATGATGTTTTCGTGAAACATAGATTCTTAAGGGCACTAAATTTGAGCTATACAGACATACTAGAGCTGCCAATTTCTATTGGGAACATGAAGCACCTGCGGCTCTTGGCTCTCAACAACACCAAGATCAAAAGCCTTCCTATTGAAATAGGACAGGTAAACAGTCTTCAGACATTGGAACTGAAGGATTGTTGCCACCTCATTGACTTACCAGGAAGCACAAGTAATTTGGCAAAGCTGCGACACCTTGATGTGCAGAAAGAATCGGGCAACGTTAATGTTGGCATGCCTCATGGTATAGGACATCTGATAGATCTCCAAACACTCACGACGTTCAACATTGGGAATGATTTGTTGCATTGCTCGATTTCAGAGTTGAAGAATCTGAATGGACTAAGGGGACATGTTCATGTAACTGGGCTTGAGAATATTAAGACAGCCAATGATGCCGGAGAAGCAAATATGATGGGTAAGCACTTGCTAGAGGCTTTGACATTGGAGTGGTCTTACCAGGAAGAAGACATGGACGATGACATGGGCAAAGAAATTACTAATGAGATTCTTCAAAATCTTCAACCTAACAGCAACATTATGGAGCTTGCCATTCGAAATTATGCTGGAAATCTGTTTCCTGTCTGGATGCAGGACAATTACCTTTGCAAGCTCATCTCAGTTACACTTGATAACTGCCATGGCTGTAGTGAGCTCCCTTACCTTGGTGATCTCTGCCATCTCTTAAATCTCTTTTCATACAGAGAATCAATGCTGTTGAAAGATTTGGAATCGAGACTAGTTCTTTGGCCACTGAAGAAAAACATCCCATTGCATTTCCATCACTGGAGGTGTTGAATATATGCGAGATGTATGATTTGCAGTTCTGGGTTAGCACGAGAGTGGAGGATTTTCCACGACTCTTCCGTCTTTCTATCAGTAGATGCCCAAAACTCACCAACTTGCCTCGCCTTATTTCCCTAGTGCATGTGTCATTTCATTATGGTGTTGAACTGCCGACCTTCTCAGAACTTCCATCACTGGAGTCACTAAAGATAGAAGGCTTCCAGAAGATTAGATCTATTAGTTTCCCACATCAATTGACAACCTTGAAGAGGTTGGAAATTATTGACTGCAAAGAGCTGTTATCAATATATGCTTATTCCTTGTCTATTTCAAATTTTAAAGTTGTCAGGTGCTTGAAACTTGATTTGGTTGGAAGTTCAATGGAAGACCATATCGGCCAGAAAGTGGTTAGTGGAAGGTATACGAATGTACTGTGTTGTTCTTTTTGCTTTTATTACTTCCTTTGATCACAACTTTAAGTGCATCTAGGTTTCTCCTAATTCTATATGAAATCATTTTTTGTTTCACATGAATCTAGTAATGACAATCTTGTGAAGTGAATCTATATAAAATTTTATATATTGATAGTCAAAGTTATAAAAGTTCAACTTAGGACAAACCTAGATGGACTTAGCATACTGCCAGCCCACGTTATAGAAATGGCCATGATATTCTTGTGCTAGTGTTAGTGCAGATAATTAAGAGATCACAGTAGGAGGAATAAATTAAGAAATAAATTAAAGATCGTTAAAACTGCATTTGTGGTTTAAAAAAAATTGTGTGCCAGATTTTGAAATGGAAGCAATATCGTTATCACTGTATTTTTCGCTTGAACATGCAGATCACTATATTCTAAAATCTTCTAGGAATACTTATTTGTTACTAAATGTTTCCTTGTACACAGGAATAGCCTGACAAGGAGGCATATGGTGCTAAAAATTTTGACATATACAGATCTCTTGGATGATGGTAGCAAGTGGGAAAAGTTTGGAGAAAAGAATATATTTGGCTACATATTCGCAAGGTGAGAACATAATATGGGCATGTAGAGAAACTACTAAATCTGTAGACTGTTTACATCAGTTTCATCTTTTGAGGAGTTGTGTTTTTGACTGTTTTCGCTCCCATTGATGTAGGATATAAATATTATAAAATTTTGGGTTCCTAACCTTTGTTAATGTACCTTACCAATTGTAAATCAGGCACTTCTTATTTATAAGCATAAATTGTGTTTTACTCAAGCATTTTAAAGGTTTTATAATTGAACCAGTAATCAAGCATTTTAATAAAGAATTATAATTAGGCGCTTCTTATTTATAAGCATAAATTGTGTTTTACTAATTGTAAAATACGAACTACACCCAGCAAAATATGAACTACTGGTCCTAGATTACCAACAGGTAAATCAGGCATGTCTTAATTTGTATTACCATCCAAATAGGTAAATATTTCTGTCTACGATTCTATGACCTTTGAGGAAATCTGATGATATTTTCAGTTATCTTATCTTATAATGTAATTTTTCAGGTCTTACTACACATGCATTTGGAGAAACTCGACAGGATGCAGTGCAACAAAGATTTTGCAGCCGGACAATAATGATCCCAACACATTGTTTGTCATGTACATCTCTGAGCACAACCATGGATTCTCCAATGAACCACACCTTGACTTGCCTAGTCAACTTGGAATAGGTCGTAAACGAAATGAATATGATGTGTCCAGTGATGAAAACACATCTAAAAAACAACGGCACGACTCTTTTGTCAGCGCTTCTTCTACTGTGCCGCGTCCGGCAACGGGGGAGGCGACGCCATCGAGCACTGACGAGCCAAAGGCAAAGAAGATGGGCCGGCCCAGGAAGCCAAACCCACGCGTCTTCGGGCCGGAATGGAGCAACGCGTGATCCATCAAGGAGAGATGCCGTCTGAAGCCAGCCTACCGCCGGCTGTCCGCGTTTTATTATATACTCTGTATTGTTGTTGAGAGAGGCCTCCTATTGTGATGAACTTATATCTCTGAATACTAGAACAGACCTTGTCTAATCCTGCCTTGTTCCTGCTATTTCTTCAACCAAACCAATTCCCAAGCCTCACGCTAACATCTTCCGAGTGAGTTGTCTTTAAGTATATGTTGGTATAGTGCCCATGCTATATGCCAAGGTCCAACTATTTCTCATGTAATACATGGTATATATATTTGACCTTTGTTTATCATAAGTTAGTAGGTTTCCAGTAGGCAGTAGACTGTTGTGGAACAATATACTATCGTGAAATTAAAGCTAAGATTTTTTTTCTTTGAAACGAATCCGGCTGCTAATTATATTAAAAAGCAGATGAAGCCCAGACTAGCAGAATAAAAAATGGTACAACTACGGTCGGTTGGATTGGGACATCAACATGCACCGAACTCAACTCAAGAGAAGAAGAAAAATAACTTTGGCCGATCGGAATGGGACATCGACATGAGGCACATAGGCCGAAATGCACGACCGCCTTCGAACCACAAGCCGATCACCACATTGCACCGCCAACAACCAGACGACAGAGTCGTCAGGACTAAAACACCGTCGTCACCGCTTGTGCCGTCGTTGCCGACACTATCCCACACCGAGGTAGCCCGCTACCGAGCAAAGCTAACTGTCGTAGTTCGCTGCAAGCCATAGCTGCCTCTAGCGCTCGCCAAGCCGACTCCATCTACTGAGATCTAAGCGCGCACACCGTAGCTTCCAGGACCTAGCTACCTCATTGAAGGTAGAAGTGCCACACACGTCCTCCAGCTGCCAGTCAAAATGCCTCCTTGCGCCGGAAACAACCGCCGCTGAGAGGGACTGCCCGCCGCCACACCACCTCGGCAATACAAGTCTGCTGGCCACCACCCCCCACGTCGGCCTCATCACCAACTCCGTGGGCACCTCCCACACTGATGAAGGAAAATTAGCAATACTAGAGTACAGTTACAGTTTTTTTCCTAAATCAATCCATTTTATTTACGTCTAGCAAAGTCTAAATGAAAAGTTACCGATCAAAGCTTCAGTATATCATCTTGGAGGCCAAAGAGTATTTGCAGACGCTAGTGGAATGGAAATTAAAGAGAGAGTGCAACAAGGTGGCTCATGAGCTAGGTTATTTAGCTAGGCAAAATGTTCATACTTAACTTGTCTGAGGCAGGCACCCGCGTGTGTCACTGACCTCTTAAATGATGATCGTAATATTTTGCCCAGTTAAATAAAGCTCTCTTTACCCGCAAAAAAAGTCTAAATGAAAAGTTATCAATATATTTATAATATTAAATAAGCATAGTTAGAATTGTATTCTTTTTTTTTACCTTAGGTGGGGTCATTATTCAGCTACCGAGCTCTGCTTGCCACTCAAGCCAAGCCCCCTTCGGAGGGTTTTATATGTGTGCCATTATAAAAGTTTGTAATTACTCACAAGCCATTAAAAAGTTTGAGCGGTCATAAATGCCACGGGTCGGAACTCTTTTGCCCTCAACGTCATTCCATCGACTATTCCTGCTAACGGTGTCAAATGAGAGCTGCGTAAAGATGGAAATGCCCTCAGGCTAGAGAAGCTAAATGAAGTTGCATTTGCCTCCTGTGCCACTCATCATCACATAGCTGTTTGCATGTCACCATGAAATAACTTAATAAACACAAACTAAGTAAATAACTTAGCCTAGAAATTCATAGTCATATAATAATACTCCAACATCAGAAAGAGTATTCAAAAGGGGTGTGAAAAAAAAGAAGGTGAAACTGCAAGCACGCGGCAAGGTACCCAAGCCGCCACTACGAACTGTCCGAGCTGAGCAATCACTCCCAAGAGGCTGATGCTGCCGCCGCCGTAGACCAGGTTGACACCCCTCAGCACCTGCACGTTGCAGTCACAACAAGGGAAAAGGCACGGACACGACGGTCAGCAGCAACCAAGCAAGAACTAAAAGAAAAGAAAATTCAAGAGAACAACGGTGGCAGTGCTCTACTAGGCTACTAGCACACGGCGGACGCGATAAGATCCCTGGGCAACGTCGTCAACGTGCTTGCTTGTATCCAATGAATTAATGACATTATTATGTTGCATGTATCGGATCGGATCCAAGACGTCGATCATCGTGCTTCTTGACCCCTTGGCCATATTTTCCATCAGTGGATCGATTTGGATGACAAGCTCGCTCCATCGATCGGCCAAGGTGGAAGCAAGCCCAGCAGCAACAGCAGCAGCTCTAGTGCTGCCTTGGTGTCCTGCAGGTCGAGTGGAAGCCATGGGCGCAGCGCGGCAGCACACGCAGCTGGTCTCCCTCCATGAACGTCGCCGGGCAGATGGCGCACTTCTCCTTGTCGACGTCTGTTCTCCTTCCTTTCAGGGAAGAGACGGAGACGGTGGGCAGCGCCTTGATGGCCGCCTTTCTACAGTCCCCTGGGCGGCTGGGCAGACAACCCGCTGCCAGAGCTGTTGCCGTCGCCACTGCCGCCGGCGGCCGCCACTGACACAGAGGCTCCTCCTCCTCTACGGAAGGCGCACCGGGCGACGAGCGCAAGGCCGACCACGCCGTCACGCAGATGAGGGAGCAGAGGAGGGACGCTAGGATGACCACAGTGTCGGAGTCCACAGAGATGGCTTGCTTCGTGGTTCACGTCGTCAAGGTGGTCCCGGCGGCTGTGAGGTTAGGGCTGGGCCGCGCCAACGGGCGCAACTCGCCGCTGGCCAGGAGTGGCGCATGTACCAGGACTTCGCGGCGGCCATTGAGGAGTGCAGGAGGGCGTCCTAGACGGAGCCACGAGTCCATCGAGGAGTGTGGGAGGGCGTCCCAAATGCCATCTGGCAGATGGAGCTAGGAGTCCAGCGCGTTCGTGGCGGAGCCGGGATCGGAGGCTGCGACAGTGGCGGAGAGAGCTGGCGCGGGCGCGGCGCCTCTGTCCGTGTGTGTGAGCGAGAGAGGATAGGGTTAGGACACATGGGCATTTTAGACAATTTTACTGGGCGGGTCCACGTGCCAGGACTCCCAAACCGTGAAAACTAAACTTAATACGGATAGAATGGCGTGGAGGGCAAAAGAGTTCGGACCACTTCAACTTTTTAATAGCTTATGGATAATTATAAACTTTTATAATGGCACCTACGCCCCCTTCGTCAACGCTTGCGGTAGGCGATAGCTATCAGGTGTCAACCAAATCCCTCCTCGCTCCCACACTCAAGCGACGTCGCACCAACAGCTGATTCTCCAATAATCCAATCTCCAAACCATTGAGTTCTCGCGCGGCATCCAGATCCGGCAATGGACAACCATGGAGAGAAGACCATCATCCACACGCTGCGAGATGCGCTGCCTCACTTCGCAGTCAAGTCCAAGAAGCTCGCGTCGCCGCTGCTGGAGCCATTCGGGTGGGCGTCCCAGCCAGCCTCTGTCGACGACGATGAGCTGACGGCGCTCAAGTCCAAACTGCGGCGGATCCGCGCCACGCTCCATGATGCCGAGAGCCTGTCCGTCACCGACCGCTCCGTCCAGCTGTGGCTAGCTGAGCTCGGTGACCTAGAGCACCGGGCCGAGGACGTGGTCGAGGAGCTGGAGTACGAGTCCCGTCGCTCGGCGCAACTGGAGGAGCTCAAGCAAGACTTGCTCTACGCCGCCACGACGGGGAAGCGGCGCCAGGAGGTGGCGCTGCTGTTGGCGCCCGCGCCCACGAGGCGGCTCCGCGCGCAAGATCGATGGCATCTGGGCAAGGTACGAAGAGATCACGTCGGACAGGAAGAAGCTCCGGCTGAGGCTCGGTGACGGCGTGCCCCGGCCCGCGGCGTGCCCGCTCGTGCCAAGCAGCGCGCTTCCCTGTACCGAGCGCCTCCACAGGTGGCAGCGCGACATCGACAGGGTCGCCGCGCTGGTTCGTGGGGAGTCAGAAGGCGGGAGGAGCTATGCCGTCGTGCCCATCGTTGGGATGGATGGCGTCGGCAAGACAGCTCTGATGCAGCATGTCTGTGGCATGGAGGCCGTGAGGTCGTGCTTCGAACTAACACACTGGATTTGGGTCTCCTAGGAGTTTGACGTCGTCAGCGTCACCCGCAAGATCGTTGAGGCGGTCACCAGAACGCGCCCGGAGTGCAGCGAGCTGAGCACGCTTCATGAGCTCATAGTCGAGCACCTTGCGGGGAAGGGGTGCTTGATCGTTCTCGACGACGTGTGGGATGACAATCCCAACCACTGGAACAGCCTGACGACCCCGAGCCACTGCGTGCCAGGGAGCACGGCTGCCATGACGACGAGGAACAATAAGGTTGCCAGGATGGTGAGCACCAAGGTGTATCATCTCAAATGCTTGTCAGATGAAGACTGTTGGCTTGTATGCCAGCGACGGGCACTACCGAATAGCGATGCCAACGTCAACCAAGAACTTGTAGAGATCAGTGAGAAGATCACGAAGAAATGTCAGGGCTTGCCATTGGCGGCAGAGGCAGCCGGTAGCGCCCTGAGCACTTCAACCAACTGGAAGCACTGGGTGTTAGGATCGTTGGTGTACCTCTCTGTGTAACCGTAGAACCGGAGTAGACCTCTTTAGGGTTCATCTATTTTGCCCTGGTTGCGCTGCAACCTCGTGGACGCCGGTGTCGAGGCAGCTTCGGCTCGGTGGCGAGGTCCAGTGGTGATCCCATGGCCTACAGAGGCGAGGTAGAGGTCACGGCGGTGCGGTGGGGCATCCCGTCGCTGGCAGCACAGCCTTTAGATCAGACTAGGTTTCTATGAGTGGGATTGCGAACAACTTTGTTGCGCCAGCCATGATCCCACCTCTCTTTTATATGTGCTGTGCGACAGGGGCCCACCAATCATATTAGGGTTGGGCTCCCCCGATCAGGGAGCAGAGACAAGGGCCCAATAGGCCGTTGGGCCTATTGGTGGAGATCAACTAACATTCTCCCCCTTGATCTCACTACCATCTTTCAAATTCATTTACTTTTGTTCATTCCATTACAGATTAGCGCATAGAGCATGTCTCATCGTCATGATCCATTGCCGATAGACTTAACAGCTACAACACACTACTCTGTTTTAAAATAGATACTTATCTTTGAGCCTTCTTTTGTCCAGGAATTTTAGGCTTTCCCTTAAACCCATGCTAGCTACATGTTCTCTGAACACCATGTTCTCTGAACATGTTGGGTGGTAAGCCTTTTGTAAGCGGATCCGCGAGCATCTTTTCTGTACTTATATGCTCAAGACTTATGACTTGATCCCGGACTTTATCTTTCACAACATAATACTCTATGTCAATGTGTTTGGCAGCACCACTTGACTTATGTTGTGAGCATACTGTACTGCCGGATTATTATCGTAGTATAACTTAAGTGGTCTAAAGATGTCGTCGACCACCTTCAAACCGGGTATGAACTTCTTTAGTCAGTTCACCTGCCCGTTGCCTCATAACACGCTACAAACTATCATACATTGTGGACGATATAGTGACGGTTTGCTTTGAGCTTTTCCATGAAACAGCTCCCCCTTTGCGAGAGTGAATTCATATCCTTTCTTAATTTTCTATCATCCCTCGCATAATCAAAATCTGAATATCCCACTATGTGGAGTGAATCAGATCTTCTATATGTCATCATGAGGCCTTTCGTTCCTTGCAAATAATGCAAGACTTTCTTTATCAATTTCAGTGTTCTATTCCAGAATTGCTCTGGAATCTGCCAAGTAAAACCAGGTAACAAATGCCAAGTCAGGGTGCGTACATACTTGAGCATGTTGCAAGCTTCCGACAACTGAAGCATATGGAACCACTTTCATTTGATTGAGCTCATATGGGTTCCTAGGGCATTGAAAATCCCCATATTTGTCGCCCTTGACTATAGGAGCAGGTGAGGGACTACATTTGTGCATACTGAATTTCTTTACTATTCTTTCTATGTATGCCTTTTGTGATAGTCCTAATACCCCTTTACTTTTATCTCGGTGAATCTCGATTCCTAGAACGAACGAAGGTTCACCAAGATCTTTCATATCAAAATTTGAGGACAAAACTTCTTTGTTTCCAGTAGTAGACTGATATCACTACTAGCAAGTAAGATATCATCCACATACAGGACAAGGAAGACAAACTTCCCATTCTTAAACTTTGTATAGACATAATTGTCCTCTACATTCTCTTTAAACCCAAAATTCTTTATTGTCTAATCAAACTTCAAGTACCACTATCTTGAAGCTTGTTTTAATCCATAAATGAATTTCTTTAGGCGGCATCCCATTCGTTCTTTTCCTTCCATGACAAAACCTTTCGGTTGTGCCACGTAAACATTTCCCTCCAAGTTTCCATTGAGAAATGATGTCTTTACATCAATCTGATGTAATTCTAAATCGTAATGTGCCATTAATGTCATTATGATTCTGAAGGAAACTTCACATGAGACTAGAGAAAAGGTCTCATTGTAATCAACACCTTCTCTTTGCATAAAGCCTTTTGCCACAAGTCACACTTTATATGTCTCTATATTCCCTTGAGAGTCAAGTTTTATTCTATAGACCCATTTACAGCTTACTGTTTTGGCTCCTTTAGGAATTATCTCCAAATCCCAAACTTTATTGGCATTCATAGATTTCATTTCATCTTCCATGGCCTCAAGCCACTTTGATGAATGATCACTTTTCGTGGCTTCTTCAAATGAGGTGGGATCATCCTCTATTTGAAATTCCTCAGTGTTGTACACTTCATAATCAGCAGAAATAACTGATTTTCTAACTCTTTGAGACCTTATAGGGGCCTTCACATTTGGCACATGTTCTGTTTGAGGCTGTTGTTGCTCCCCCTCATGTGTGGCAATAGGTTCTATAGGATCCTGAAGAACAGGTTCCTCATCGTCATTCATTGTTGCCACAGGTGTGATAACAACAGGTGCTGGCACCATAGTGTCTTGCACTGTCGGTGCAGCGACAGCAGGTAGTGAGAAAAATGGTTCATGAATCATGGGAGTGGGCGCATACACCCGCTTCACTTCAAGGTCAATTTCTCGAGCTACCATACTCCCCCTCATCAATTCATCCTCTAGGAAGACAGTGTGTCTCGTTTTCACAAACTTTGTATGTCTCTCTGGATAGTAGAAAACGAAAACCTTTTGACTTTTCTGGGTAGCCAAACAAATGGCAACTTACTATTTTGGGATCTAACTTTCCAATGCTTGGGTTAAAATACTTTAGCCTCAGCAGGGCTCCCCCACACACACGCAAGTGGTTTAGTGATGGTACTCTTTCTGTCCACAACTCATATGGTGTTTTGGGCACCGACTTTCTTGATACTCTATTGAGAATATGAATGGCGGTTTTAACGCCTCCATCCACAGGCTCAACTGCAAGGTGGAGTAACTTATCATACTGCCCACCATATCCATCAGGGTACGATTGATTCTTTTAGCTACTCTATTCTGCTGAGGTTCGCCCGGTGTAGAATACTGGGCTACTATGCTATTCTTTTAGGGTATGCCGACCGTAATACTCCCCCACGGTCAGACCTGACTATCTTAATCTTTAATATCTTAAATTTATCCAATGCTTCTGTTCTTTCTTTGATTGGATAAATATAGCCATAATGGGAGTAATCATTTGTGAATGTTATGAACGAATCATAACCATCCACACTCTTTATAGGAAAATGACCACAGATGTCTGTGTGAATAATCTATAAAATTCCTGCGCTTCGTTTGTCATCTTTCTTTACATACTTTCCTTTTATGCATTCTCTGCATTGTTCTAAATCTCTAAATCTGAGAGCTCTAATGGAGGAAGAATATCATTCTTAACTAGTCTTTCTATTCTCCCTCTCGAAATATGGCATGAACGATAGTGCCATAATTTCGACGACGCATCTTGAGCTCTCTTATGCCATCATTTCCAGAGTAACTCTTTGTCACCAGCTGCTTTATCAGCTGGGTAGCATATATTTTTGAAGAGACAGTGAACTAACTCTTTATTCTATTAAGGTACTCGGTGACCGTGTCACACTCTAGGATTGAGTCCACAATTGCAGGCTCAATCGTGTTCTTTATCATAGCCAAACATTTCATGTTGGCAGTGACCCACTTCCTATGCTTAAAGTCATAGGACATCTTTTGGAATTCAAAATCCCTTTCTTTAGTTGCCTAATTGGCATCATTCTCTTTTGTCTCCCTCACCGGTGCCACAGACTCAGTGGAACACGGTGAGATGATTACCTAGTCCACCTCAGCCAAGATGAAAACCAGGTCAAAACTTTTCTTAACATAAAAATAACACCATTTGTATGCATTGATTCCAACGTTGGTCAAAATCAAAACATACAACTGTTCGTATACACTAATTCTACATCACCGTTGGGCAGAAATAGAATTAACGTATAAATCTTTAACTTTCACAACTTTCTTACACACTAATTCTACATCACCGTTGGGCAGAAGTAGAATTAATGCATAAATCATTAAAATTACGATATTGTTATTAACAACGTTGGTCAAATAATAAAAACATCATAATCATGTCAAAATCTCTTTTTCTCCAATTAAATACCACATTGGTTCAAAAAACTGAAGAATAAACATTTTCTTTAGCAGCGGAAAAACTTTCTTTTTCTCCAATTAAATATCACGTTGGTACAAATTAACTAGAGGATAAACAATTTCTTTGGCAGCAGAAAAACTCTTACTTAATTTCTTGAATTTTACCCATAGGGAAAAATTACTTTTCCTCTATTTTCTTTGAGCTATTTTTCATTTTCCAGAAATAAGCAATTACTGGAAAATAAAAAAGGAAAAAACTGTTCTTGGGCCAAAACTGGCACAGTGGTCCGGCCCAGCTCTGGCCTCAGGCCGGCCCTTCTCTCTCTCTCTCATGTGGCCTTACCTTACCAGGCCTAGCACCTTGCCGGCGCCTGCTGGCCTGCTTCGCCATGCCTGGGCAAGATGCGGCTCGTGCATTCTGGCTTGAATCAATCGACGGCCGAGAGAGCGTTCTGCCGGTCAAAACCCAGCCGCCACTCGGCTCCTCGCAACCCTAGCGCCATTCGACTCCTCTCTCACCGCAATGATGAAACCGAAGCGAGCGCGAGCAAGGCGGTGGAGCGACCATGGCGCCGGTCGCCCCCCCTCGCCGGCGCGCGTGCTCCCCAAGGGGTGAGCACGCCGCCGTCGAGCGGCCTGGCCGCGGAGCCCCCTTGGCCGAGCCCGGCGAGCAGCTGCCCCCGGATCGACCCTTCTTCTCCCGCGCGGGCGAAGGGCCATCCCGACGCACGACGAGGTTTGTTCCTTCCCCTGTCCCTTTCTCCTTCCCCTTCCCCTTCTTCTTTTCGATTTGGACTGATCTTCTCTTTTCCGAACCGACTGTGGGGAATTAGGGTTTGTTCTAGGGTTCAATCCGAATGGGAATCTAGGGTTCCTTTTCTTCTTCCCCTTCGGATTTTCTTTTGTGTCTTCTTTCTTTTCTTTTCGCTTGTTCACCCGAAAAGGGGATCTAGGGTTAGGGTTTGGTTGAACCCACTTCGTGTTTTTGTTTGATTTGATTCGAGATCTTTGAGATTATCCCCTTCCCCTCTTCCCCTTCTTTTCTTTTGAATCTGCTTCTTTCTACGGATTCAACCGAATGGGGTACTAGGGTTAGGGTTTCATGATTTGCACTTTTCTTTTGATTTCTTTTCTTTTAGGAGTTCATCCGAATCGCTTCCCTTCCCTTCTTCATGCGAGCTTGGGAACCTTTTGCTTTCCTTAGATCCGGATGGATCTGTTACATTCTGCCGTGCAAACAGGCGGTGCGACATCTTTCCCAGCGGTGGCGGTGGTGACCGGGGTTCGAGTGACATCCGCACCCCGGTCCTTTTCTCTTTGCTTTTACCCGGTTAGGGTTAGGAAGAAATGTCAGGTAACTTTGGCTCTGGTACCATTGTTAGGATCGGGTGTACCTCTCAGGCAGAGAGAACCAGCCTCTTTAGGGTTCATCTATTTCATACAGTTGCGCAACAACCTCACGGACCCGTGTCGAGGCAGCTTCTCGGTGGCGAGGTCCATGGTGATCCTGTGGCTGCAACTCACGACGGTGCGATGGGGCATCCTGTCACTGGTAGCATTTAGATCGACTAGGTTTACCTGAGTGGGATTACGGCGGCTCGGGACAACTTCGTGGTCTTTGCTGGGCCCACCAACCATATTAGGGGTTAGGCTCCCCGATCGTGAGCAGAGAACCCAATAGGCCGTTGGGCCTATTGGTAGAGATCAACTAACACTGGGATGAAGTCCTGAATAACGACTTGTGGGCTGACAATGATGTGAAGAACCTGGTACTGCCGGTGCTGAAGGTGAGCTACGATCACCTGTCCATGCCGCTGAAGCGCAGCTTTGCCTTTTGTTCATTGTTTTCAAAGGGCTTCGCCTTCGACAAAGATCTTCTAGTCCAGCTGTGGACTGCGCAGGGTTTTGTGGATGCTGAAGGAGACTGCAGCCTTGAAGCGACCGCCAATGGCTACTTCAATGACTTGGTGTCAAGGTGCTTCTTCCACCCTTCCCCATCTCATGCTATCAGCGAAGGGAAGTATGTTATGCATGACCTGTACCAGGAGCTTGCTCAGTTTGTTTCAGGCAATGAATGTAGGATGATACAACTCCCTAATTCAATGAAAATAGATGAGAGCCCTCGGCATTTGTCCTTTGTTGATGAGGAGTCTCATTCTGTCCAAGAAATAAACTTGGACTCATTTTGTGGTCATCGTGATCTGCAAACCTTCCTGTTCATTGCAAGAACAGAACAAAACCACGAGGAGATGGCCTTCAGAACAAAGATTCCTTCCGAGCTGATCACGGATTTTGAATGCTTAAGAGCTTTAGATTTGAGCAACTCCAATATCATGGAGCTACCGAAATCCATTGGAAGTCTGATACACCTAAGGTTCCTTGGTCTGGACAACACCGCAATTAAGATGTTGCCTGAGTCAATTTGTGCGCTTTTCCACTTGCAGATAATTAAGCTTAACCATTGTTCTTCCCTTACTCAGTTGCCTCAAGGCATCAACCTCCTATTGAATTTAAGGTGCCTAGAGATTCCACATTCAGACATAAAGATGCCTTCGGGGATTGGAGAGTTGATTAGGCTACAGAGACTACCTTTTTTGTCATTGGGAATGAGCCTGCTGGATGTAGCATGGCAGACCTGAACGAATTGGTAAACCTTGAAGGACATCTTCACATCACAGGTCTAAACAACCTGGATGTTGCACAAGCTTCCACCGCCAACCTTTGGAACAAGATGAGGATTCAAAAGCTAACACTTGAATGGTCCGAACTTACAAATTTTAACCAGTCCCTTTGTGATCCGCAGGGAAACGCAGTGAGCTGCATGTCAGACAGTCAGCAACCTGGAATCAGTGCTACAGCAGATTAGGTTTTAAAGTGCCTCAAGCCACATTCAAATCTGGAGGAGCTCACCATCAAGGGTTATAACGGATCGTTTTCTTCGTCATGGTTAGGATGGCTGCCCTTGGACAGATTAGCTTCTATTGAACTGAAAGACTATCATAATTGCAAAGAAGTACCGCCCCTTGGCTGCCTACCATCACTGAAACACATTTTGATACAATCACTGCCAAGCGTGAAGCTAATTGGTCCAGAGTTCTTTGGCAATGTTGGAGATACCACTTCTAACAGTAGGAGCAGAATCTGCAATGTGTTTCCTTCACTGGAGTCACTAAAGTTCAGGAACATGGAAGCTTGGGAGGAATGGCTCGGTGTCAAGAGTGAGCACTTCCAACAACAACAAAGCCTTTAAGTCCCAAACAATCACCAATCTTAAATATTTCAGCATCGCCAGATGCAGCAAACTGAAGCCGTTGCCCAAGTTCACTTAAGAACCAAAGCTGAAAATACAGTACTGTGACCTGCTGCAAATGCCTTTGTGTTAGGTATCATTTGAAACTTAAATGACTGTCATAAGCTAAGGATACACATGCTTCAATTTTCATATTCCATATGTTCTATATGGACATATCATTATTTTGTTCAGCTTTCTGCAAATTGTTTCTCTTCACTTCATTACCAAAGAACGTATATGTTTCATTCCTAAAAACAGCGTATGTCTCCTACATGGTTCATGCTTTAGAGTAACATAAGCATATGGAATGGCACCTTAGGGTTTCTGATTGAGGCTTATTTGGATCTAGTGGATCTAAATCACAACAACAACAACAACAAAGCCTTTAAGTCCCAAACAAGTTGGGGTAGGCTAGAGTTGAAACCTAGTAGAAGCAATCAAGGTTCAGGCACGTGAATAACTGTTTTTCAAGCACTTCTATCTAAGGCTAAGTCTTTGGATATATTTCATCCTTTCAAGTCTCCTTTTATTGCCTCTACCCAAGTCAACTTCGGTCTTTCTTTGCCTCTCTTCACGTTACTATCCTGGCTTAGGATTCCACTATGCACCGGTGCCTCTAGAGCTCTCCGTTGGACATGTCCAAACCATCTCAACCAGTGTTGGACAAACTTCTCTTCAATTGGTGCTATCCCTAGTCTATCACGTATATCATCGTTCCGAACTCGATCCCTTCTTGTATGACTGCAAATCCAACGCAACATATGCAATTCCGCGACACTTATCTGTTGAACATGTCTTTTCGTAGGCCAACATTCTACACCATACAACATAGCAGGTCTAATCACCATTCTATAAAACTTGCCTTTTAGTTGCTGTGGTACCCTTTTGTCATATAGGACACCAGATGCTTGGCGCCACTTCATCCACCCTGCTTTGATTCTATGGCTAACAACTTCATCAATATCCTCGTCTCTCTGTAGCTTTGATCCTAAATATCAAAAGGTATCATTCCTAGGCACTGTAAGGAAAATGGACCCTAAACCCATTTACTTTGGATTTTAGTGTTTGATGACCAACACAACCAAATTGGACTAATGAATTTACAAGTAATTGTTTTGTAGTTCAATAGGGTGCAAGACGTGACTTGGACGAATGCGACATGATGATCCCACGATCAATACCATAAGCAAGACCCTAGAAGCACAAGAGAAGACCCAAGATATCAAGCAAAATCCAAGCACGAAGATGGGAACAAAGCCGGACGCAAGATCGCGAAGAAACGAGCTCGACAGAGGTGACCGGACGCGTCCGATCAGTTGCTCGGCAGCAGCAAGCGTCAGCAGCAGCGATCGGACGTTGAGCGAAGCAGTGACCGGATGCACAGATGACACTGTTCTTTGTCACGGCAATGCTTTCAGCGTGACCGGACGCAACAGCACTGGATGACCGGACACACGAAGTGCAGCGTCCGATCGAGTCCAGAGAGGTTCTAGAGCGGCGCCAACGCGACCGGACGCGTCCGATCGAGTGAGACCGGACTCGGCCTAGAGTCCGATCAAAGCACGCGCTCCAACGGTCGGGACGACCGAACGCATCTGATCAGGACGACAGCAGCGTCCGATCAGTAGCAGAAAGCTGGGTTTCGACCCTAACGGCTACTTTCTCTACGGGTCTTATAAATAGAACCCCCAACCGGCCATTTGAGATTAGTGGAGCTGAGAAAACATACCAAGAGTATTGATACACCATTTTAGTGATCTCCACTTGCATATTGCTTAGTGATTCATTAGGTGATTAGCGTAAGTGCTTTTACGAAGTGCTTAGGTTGATTAGATCACTGCTTATGCGCTTGCTCTAGGTTTAGGCCTAGCGTCTAGTGAGGTTTGCACACCTCTTATCACTCGGTGCTTGCGCATATCATTGTTGTACATCGGAGAGGTTTGCAGTCTTGCGAGATCACACCAACCACGTTTGTAGTGTGGCCGCCACGGTGTACCGAATGAAACAAGGCCCGTGGCGGTTTGGCCGGAAGTTTGATAGTGAAGACGGCAGGGAGCGGTCCGGGAGACGCTTGCCGAAAGGCACATCGGAGACCCACTTATGCGTGGGGAAGGCCCGGGGCTATCCACGGAATTACCCGACCGGGAGCTTGGCCCTTGCGAGGAATTCCTTGAGAGGGGCTCCAACGAGGAGTAGGGGAAAGCTTGCACGCTTCTCGATACCTCGATAAAAATACCGGAGTCGTGGACGGGAGTTTGCATATCTATACCTTACTCTTTAGCTTCTGCATTTACATTGCCATCTTAGTTTGTGCTTTACTTTCCTAGCTTAGTGATAGGCTAGTTGATAGGTTTGGAACCTAGGTTGCATAACTTCTTTTTGCGGTAGAGATAGCAACACGCCTAGCAAAACCGTAGTTGCATATTTAGATAGTTTATCTTTTGCATATGTTTTGAATAGGTGAAATTAGAGACCATAGTTTAGAGTAGATTTTTAAGTTGCCTAATTCACCCCCCTCTTATGCGTCATGGTCCTTTACAAGTAGTATCAGAACCGGTTGGCTCAATTTGGCCATATGGTTTCATCGCCGTTAAGCCGACGTTATTTAGAGTGGTTGAGATGGATACCTCTAGGCCTCTGCACTTTGATGACACTAACTTTCCATACTATAAAGCTAGAATGGCTTGTCACCTTGAGACGGTAGATTTGGGTGTTTGGAGAGTCACACGTGACGGGATGAAACCCATAAAGATTATCGATAAACCCACAAAGAGTGAAGAAAAAGAAATTCATTTCAATGCTAGAGCTAAAAATTGCTTGTTTGAATCTTTTAGCATGGATGTGTTTAACCAAGTGTTCACATTAAATACGGCACATGAAATTTGGTTAAAACTACAAGAGCTCCATGACGGCACAACTAATGTCCACGAGCAAAAACATTGCTTGGCTCAACAAAGTTATGATTCTTTTGAAATTAATGATGATGAGCTTCTTCGTGATATGTATTCTCGTTTGAATCTAATTATCAATGAGCTCAATTTTATAGGATTAATAAAGCTAGGTGATGCGAACATCATGAGAAAGATCATCTCCATACTACCACAAAAGAAATATGCAAGCATCATCACCATCCTTAACAACATGGAGGACTTGAGCACCATGACCTCGGCCATAGTCATTGGCAAGATAGTGGCATTTGAAATGTCACGCAATATGGGTCAAGAAGAAGCCTCTTCATCAAGCAAAGACACAACACTCGCATGTAGTGAGAAAAAGAAGATGAATGGCAAACATGTTGAGACAAGCTCAAGCTCAAGCTCCTCAAGTGAAGATGAAGAAGAAGATGAGGATGACGATGATGAAGATTCAAGTGATGATGATCAATCTTCCTCCTCCACCTCCAACCTTAATGAATAATCAATCAAACTTATCAACAAGGTGGACAAGATGATCCAAAGGCTCAATGTCAAGGGTGTGCCCATCCAAGATGAAGATTTCATCTTCACCAATCAAAGAAATGAGCAAAGAAAGAAATGATGTTATGGATGCGACGAGTTAGAACACTTTGTGGAAGTTTGTCTAAACAAGTCCACACCTAAGACAAAGGAGTGCAAGGACAAAGCCCTCACATCAATAAGGTTATGTGATGATTCTTCAAGTGAAGAAGAAGAACACCATAAGAGGCAAGGGCACAAACACTCATCATCAAGCACCTCACTTGTGTGCCTTATGACACGAGGTAACAAAAAGCCTATCCCTAATGATAGTGACAATAATAGTGATAGTGATGATGAGCTACCTTCTTATGATGAAATTGTGCAAGAAAATCTTAACTTTGCTAAAGTTTGCACTAGTCAACAAAAGAAGCTTGAAAATTAAAGGAAAAACTAGATAGCTCACAACAAGCTTATGCTATTTTGCTTGAACAATATGAAACTTTTATCAATCTTAATATGGAGTTATCTACTAAAATGGAGCAACTTGAGATTAGTGCAAACACAAATGCATGCACAATCAATGATGAGCAACTTGTAAAGAAAAATAAAAAATTAAAGGAAAAGTTAGCTAGCTCATAAAATTTGCTTGCTAAAATGGAAACCATGTGTAAATATTGTGATGGGCTAATTAATAAAGTTGCTAATCTTAAAGCCGTCGATACTACCCCCACCAAGGCACATAAAAAGAAAAGTTCTATCTTTGACATGCCTAAAAAGGATGCCTCTACTTTTTTACAATAATTTATATTTAGACTCAACCTTGTGCAACCAAGTTTGTGTTGAGAAAGTTGTAGATACATGCACACAAGAGGTTGCAATGGAGAATGAGCAACTCAAGCAAGAAGTGGCT